GCACTGTACGGGATGTAGGGAACGTTCTCCTAGCTATGAAGAAATGTATCATATTAGCTACTTTGTTACCTGCTAGCTACTACCCCAGGTCCTTGCATCGCAGCAAATTTAGGGGCTAGCTAGGATTATCATCCTCCACACTTCCTAACCGAATCAGAGAAGCCTCAGTACAGGATGTAAGTGACCCAGCTCACACAATAGATAAGTAGCATAATAGACTTCAGATCCGTTGGATTCCCTGAGTCCAGCCCTTATAAAGATTCTACACAGCAGAGAGAGGACATGAAGATAGAGCAAAAGACAATTTAAGACTCATGAGAAGGGAGGGTAATCAGAGAAGGAGAAGAGAGTTTCTGAGCCTGACTTTAAAAGAGGGAAGGAAATAGAACAAGTAGGAAAGGAGTATACAGTCACTTAAAGAGAAATAAACAAATGGGAAATGAGTATTCCCTAAATAGACTTCCATACTTGGGGAAGAGCATCTACGTAGGGGAATAATGAGAAAAGAATGGTAAAGTAGGAAACAGACGGTGATTCCGCAAAGGCCTTAAAGCAGAGAAGTTTGATTTAAGAGTGGAAACTCAATGGAAAGGAAAATCTGATTAAAAGAAGTGTTTAAAATGTTTCAGTGTATGACTGTAAAATGGATATTTCGGTAGAAAGTATATAGAGAGACACTGACAAAAAAAAAAAAAACATTCTAAATTGACTTTGGTCCTTCCCGCTCTAAAACAGTGTACCATTACATTCCCCTCCTCTTTCAAAATGGAGGCAAGCTTATGCTCTGCGTGTGTGGATATGAGATGCCATATACTTTTCTTTTCTTCCTACAGGCTATGCTTTCCTTTATTAATCAAAAAGGGCCCCTCACAGAAGGCATATTCAGAAACTCAGCCCATATAAAATCCTGCCATGTCCTAAAGGAGAAACTAAATTCTGGGGTCAAAGTGAACCCGTACAGCGAATCTGTTCATGTGGTCGCATCCGTCTTAAAGGTAGGGAAGGTTCTAGCATTATCCACACACGAGTAACTGAAGCTATGATTGGTGTCCTTCATCATGACTGCTCAAGAACCATAACGGGCATAATAGATTAAGAACCTGACAAGCTGAAAAACGCTTGACAAAATCAAAATGTAGGGAAGCTACTTTAGGAGTTAAAAGCCCCATGTGTTAGAAATACTTTCCGTTTTCACTACACACCGCCCTCCCCACCTTCACTCCTGAAGACTCCATGCAAAATACTAATACTGAAATGACTACTAGTCATGATAATAAATTTCAAAATACGCACCGATACATACACACAGTTTACCCATGAAAACATCCTCACCACCCTCCTAATGAAGGCAAACTTTCCAAAAGAAATAGAACAGGGAAAGGATTTAATCCATCCACCTTGGCACTTATGAACAGCTCTGAACAACCCTATGTTAACGTGGTAAATGACTACAGTCATAGAATCTCAGTCACATTTGGTCTTCCCTTGTCCCCCGTTAATGTTCGAAGATGGGATCAATAGCAAGTTCCAGAAATGACTTAGGTAACCACTCCTACACTGGGGCCGTAGTGATATCCAGTAGTAATATACATACAGGCATCAGGAGACAGGAGAAGAATGATGATACACTAGGTAGCAAGATGAGTGTTGCCCTCTGTAAGGTGCACACATGGAATCCATTTTCTAGCAAGAGTTAGGAGGTTCTTTCCTGATTCCGTGTTATAAGCACCGACTAGGAAGAGGGTGAGCACTTGTGGGGAGAGTGCTTAGACATTTCTAAACTTTTCTCTTCCTGAAGTTGACGGATCTTGGTGGAGAATCAGACTCTGCAACCTTGGCCTTAATAATATCATGGCAAACTAACTGGACAATTGTCCTAAACTAGAAATGAATCTATCCTCAGGACCACAGTGAGTCTGCCATTAGACTCTCGACTTTTAGACAGTTAAGAAAAGGAAGAATGAAGCAATTGTGAGAGTAGCTTTCTTCCAGGGAGCACGCATACCCCGAGTGAGAAGACCTACTTCTTTCCTAATATGTGTGGAAGAGCCCACCTGTTTGTGTTTTGATTGTTTCAGGCCTTTTCTTGCTAGAGTTAAGAGCTAGCACCTTGTCTAAAACAAGCAACATGGGTATGTGTATTTCTGTCCAGGAAGCTAATAGGATTTAGGATGGTCTATAGCCAGACCCTGTCAGTTTGTGGTACTTTGCAAAAAAAAAGCACACGCACAAAATAAGTTCCAGATGATAGAAGGGAGCTTTATCTTCATTTCCACTACAGGCTAAGCTCTGCTTTTTGTCTCTAAGTTTTAGCGGGAGAAAATCCAAGCACCTGCTCCTGCGTGTGCAAGTCAATGGAGAGTCAGAGCCGAGCTCCGTGTGGGTCCCAGTTTAGGTATCTGTGAAGGAAGTGGGGGCTGAACTGAATTTTTTAACTACATATTTTCTCTGGAATATTTCCAATACATAGTTTCTATAGTATATACAGATATATATATATTTTTTTTATCTCCCTAAGGACTTTCTAAGAAATATCCAAGGAAGTATATTTTTATCTGACCTCTATGACAAATGGCTCGGTGTTATTGATCAAGGCAACAAAGAGGAAAAGATAACTGCAGCCCAGAGGTAATGGTGCCATAATTACTCTACTCTGGTCACATCTCCAAAATACAGCCAACATACTATTAGGAAAACATTGGCTTACGTTTTGCAGCTTTGCCCACTATAATCATGACCAACGCCAAAGAGTTTCAATTCTTCACACCCATGGGGCCCAACTTCAGAATAGAGGCACGCTTTAGGGCTATTATTGTTCTTCTCCTGATCTTATTAATGTGGACTCCTTGGCCGTTTGACACCTTCTGGATCCATGAAACTTGTAGACGAAATTCCCTGGTTCAAGACACATGCAAGAGCATCAACTGCCAGGGGTATGACCTTAAAAGTCTGTCAAACATTTAACTAACCAGAGAAGTGTTTATCTGGCTCAGGAATTGAATTCAGTGCAACAATTTTGTCTACATTCATGCCTGGAACTCTGCTACAGCGGGTTGTGTGCTAGATATACAAGGATGTATCCTGTTCCCTGTCTCTGTTTTTCCAACCTCCTAAGTGGAATCACTTGCCTAATTTAAAAGTGTGGTTTTCTGACCTTAGGCTTTTAGCCCAGCTGCCAAGAGCAAATGTTGTTCTCTTGCGATACCTTTTTGGAGTGCTATACAACATTGAGCAACATTCCTCATCCAATCAGATGACAGCTTATAATTTATCCATTTGTATGGCCCCAAACGTTCTTTACCCACCTGATTCCGGCACCTTGGAATTGGAAGACAACTTGATAAGAAAGGTAATGAGAGCTCTCATTTTTGTCCCCCAGGGGGTAGAATCCCTACTTTGAACCGGACATGTGCAGTAGTAACTCTGACGGATGGAACTTTGTGAAGTGCACATTTTCATTAGGCCCCTGTGGAGTGGCAGAGTTCTTTATCCTACTCTGGCGGGGTCTGGGAAGGGGTGTCGTTAAACGGGAAACTCGGAGCAGTCGAGTCACTTCTTCCCCCTCCAGGAGACTAAACACTAGACTGACTAAACGAGAGAGAGAAGAGTCGTGTGATACGATAGAAAAGAACCTGGGCTTTGGAGCTTCACCAGTCAAGGTTCAACTCTCAGCCTAATCCCTGAGGGACTCGTAACCTTGGGCAAAGCCATGGTTTCCTCACTACACATTGGTGACAACAGCCAGCTCCTCCGGTCATCACTGGCACATCCTGGGTGGCTTGGGCAATATGAGCCCCCATGCCTCCAAACACATTGGCCTTCCTCTGCCAATTGTGGCTCATCTAGAAAAGTACTCGGCTACTATTTCACCTCTGCTACATCATATGGAAACTAGCAAGAGATTCCAGAATATCCTAATAAGATGACAGGTCTTCCCCAAGCTCACCCAGAGAGAGCCAGCATGAGGCAAAGCAATGCGTGAGAAGGGACTGAAGTTAGACAGACAGATACGTTTTCTCTCCAGCTGTGTGGGTTTTCCCTCACAACCCCACCAAAATCCCTGCTTCCCAACTTTATGATACTTCTTCATTTAAGAAATGGTTTTCTTAAGTTGTCGTTCATACTTTATAAAGTTTCATAAGATGGTATACATCAGTTACAGCTCAGTAAAACTGGAAACAAAATTTAAAAGCAAAAAATAAGTAAACTTTAATAAGGTAGGCTACTTTGAAAATTATCCTTGTTTTATTTATATTTTGATATGTATTTATTTGAGAGAGGGAAAGAGAGAGCGTGAGCGGGGCAGGGGCAGAAGAAGAGGGAGAGGGAGAGGGAGAAGCCCAAGCCCATTCCCCGCTGAGCACGGAGCCCAAAGTTGGCTCCATGTGGGGCTGGATCTCACCACCATGAGATCGTGATCTCCCCCGAAATCAAGAGTCAGACGCCCAACAGAGGGGCCCCGAAATTTATCCTAGGCTTAAAGACATAACCACTGATCCCAAAATGTTAGCTCTTAAACTAGGCTACGCATTATAACTTTAGCCCACGGATGGGCAGTATTTTAAAATGTGTACCCAAAGTACACGGGAAAGTATCACTCTTTCTAAGTTATTTCTGAGAGAACTCTGGTTTCTATGTGTTTCTGTTTTTTTGTGTTTTTTTTAAACTTTCATTTATTTACTTGACTGAGAGAGACACAGCGAGAGAGGGAACACAAGCAGGGGGAGTGGGAGAGGGAGAAGCAGGCTTCCCGCTGAGCAGGGAGCCCGATGTAGGGCTGATCCCAGCACCCTGGGATTATGACCTGAGCCGAACGCAGACGCTTAACCGACTGAGCCACCCAGGCGCCCCTGGTTTCTACATATTTTTATCAACTCTGAATTTTTCTGAGAAGTCCTTCCCATTTTTTCTTAGATCCAAGGTCTGTATACAAAATGTGATTTATAATTATGCCCTATGGAAAAAAGCACCCCATTCTTGTCTTTTTGTGTTACAGATTTCTCTTGTACAATTTCTCATTGAAAATTGCCTCAGGATATTTGGAGAAGACATCACTTCCCTCTTGGGCGAGAACTCAATGAGTCGTGGTAACAGCGAGAAGGCTGCAGGTACCGGGAGTAATTTAATTGGCTTTAGTGAGAAGCAGACAGCAAGGTTACCAGGGGTCATGGGAGATGCTTAGACAGAGCTGTTCTGGAGCCCAGAGCATCGCCAGGGCAAGGATTTCCATGTGCTCCTTCTCCCGAAGGCTGGCTCAGAGGTCAAGGGAGGTTCCACACTGTTGTGAGACCAAAGAAAGGATAAGATGAAGTGTCTGACTTCAAGAAGTTTCTAGTGTAGATCATAAGGGCATTAGGACTCATCATGGTATGCTACAGTGTTTGGGAATTTTTTCTAACAAAATTCTAAATGGGTATAACATCATACATATATATATAGTTATATATATATAATTAGATACTTATACTATATAAATATGTAATCAATATATATATATATTTATGTATATAAGATGTGCTCTGGTTGAAGCCAGAGCAAGGGGCCTTTCTTCCACTCCCTCCTCTTTTGACTCAGGGGCTCTTGAGGCACCACAGGATTCCAGTGCCCTTTGAAGCGGGTTGAAAAGAACTGGCATCATTGAGAAAAAAGGACTTGACTTGATGTCAAAAAACCTCTCCAGAGTGTAAAGTCCTGTGCCCCATTTACCAGCTATATTATCTTTCGCCAGTTATTCCAGCTCAGCATCAGTTTATACATCTCTAAAATGTGGATAAAAATAATGTCTAAATCTTAGAATTGTGGTAAACACTAAATAAGATGATGGATGAAATCCACAAAAAGCCATTAATAGGACTAGGAGAAGTGCCCCTGAGACTAGAGCTAGTACGATTTGAGCCTAGCTAATCACAGCTACCTGGCAGCAGTCCACCGTAGAAGGTAGACTTTCGATTCAGAACCTGGAGACACGTATCATCAATCCCTCCATATTTCTGACATTTCTTGGTTTTATGATGCTTACCACATTGCTTTGAGGAAATCTTTAGGAAAATACAAGTCATCAGGAATTAAGATGAGTCTGGGGCTCCTGGGTGGCTCAGTCATTAAGCGTCTGCCTTCAGCTCAGGTCCTGATCCCGGGGTCCTGGGATCGAGCCCCGCAACGGGCTCCCAGCTCCGAGGGAAGCCTGCTTCTCCCTCTGCCCCTCCCCCTGCTTCTGTTCCCTCTCTTGCTGTCTCTCTCCCTCTGTCAAAATATAAATAAAATCTGTAAAAAAAAAAAAAAGGAAAATGAAGGCTCAGCGTATTAAACAACAACTACTACTAGTACTCTCTCTTCTTCCTTAGACTCCGGCCCTAAGACTGTGACAAGCCGTTCTTTCAGAGCCAGGGCCTTTTGTCGGGGTTGCAGCACTTGCAGGCACACCCAGTGCACAGCCCCACCTTCCGCAAAGCCAGTACAGCTCTTTGGAGTTTCGCTCATGGATATGTGTTATAAAGACAACCTTCCCTTCCCAATTCTGGTAGGTCATCTCCTTTCGTCTTCTATAGCCCTCCTGAAGAGGGGACACTCTGAGAGGCCACGTGTCCTCATCCAAATCTATCCTCAAATGGAGTAGTCATTAGACAGCCCCTGGTTTTGGCTGAGAAGCTCTGTTACTGTTATTTCAAGGAACAGAATCTGACTTAGTTCCAGCAGAGTCATGAGGCAAATACAACAGGAAAAGACATTCTTGTCCATTCCACCTGGGTCTTGTTTTCACAAAGACCCACCGAGGCTTATTCAGATCAGTCAAAATGGACTCTGTGTATGTGAGTCTCTGAGAGTCCACCTCATCTTCACACTCTCCCTTCATTGCCTTCCTGCACTCACATGACTCTCAAGTCTCCTTCAGCGGAGTCTACTCAGTCTAACAACTGCAAACATCTGACACAAGCATAGACTCATCCTCTGGCAAATAGGAATCTGTTAATCCTAACAGAGTATGTCAAATGAAAGCCACAGAGTTTGGCCTGTGTTATCTCAAACTGCTGTAGTGAATTGTCAGTGTGGACATTCACTGAGTATTCGGTGTCTCTGCAAGCACTGTGCGGGATGTAGGGAACGTTCTGCTAGCTATGAAGAAATGTATCATTTTAGCTAGCATGTTACCTGCTAGCTACTACCCCAGGTCCTTGCATCACAGGAAATTTAGGGGCTAGCTAGGATTATCATCCTCCGCACTGCCTAAAGGAATCAGAAAAGCCTCAGTACAGGATGCATGTGCCCCAGCTCACACAATAGATAAGTAGCATAATAGACTTCAGATCCATTGGATTCCCTGAGTCCAGCCCTTATTAAGTTTCTACACAGCAGGGAAAGGACATGAAGTTACAGCAAAAGACAATGAAAGACTCATGAGAAGGGAGGGTAATCAGAGAAGGAGAAGAGAGTTTCTGAGCCTGACTTTAAAAGAGGGAAGGAAATAGAACAAGTAGGAATGGAGTATACAGTCACTTAAAGAGAAATAAACAAATGGGAAATGAGTATTCCCTAAATAGACTTCCATACTTGGGGAAGAGCATCTATGTAGGGAATAATGAGAAAGAAATGCTAAATTAGGAAACAGACGGTGATTCCCCAAAGGCCTTGAAGCGGAGAAGTTTGATTTAAAAGTGGAAACTCAGTGGACAGGAAAATCTGATTAAAAGAAGTTTTTAAACTGTTTCACTGTATGATTGTAAAATGGATATTTGGGTGAAAACTATATAGAAAGACACTGAAAAAAAGAAACCAATCTAAATTGACTTTACTCCTTCCCACTCTAAAACAGTGTACCATTATATTCCCGTGCTCTTTCAAAATGCAGGCAAGCTTGTACTCTGCGTTTGTGGATATGAGATGCCATATACTTTTCTTTTCTTCCTACAGGATATGCTTTCCTTTATTAATCAAAAAGGGCCCCTAACAGAAGGCATATTCAGCAAATCAGCCAATATAAAATCCTGCATGGTCCTAAAGGAGAAACTAAATTCTGGGGTCAAAGTGAACCCGTACAGCGAATCTGTTCATGTGGTCCGCATCCGTCTTAAAGGTAGGGAAGGTTCTACCATTATCCACACACGAGTAACTGAAGCTATGAGGCACACTTTAGTCCTTCAACAAGACTCCTCAAGAACCATAAAGGGCATAATAGATTAAGTACCTGACAAGCTAATAAACCCTTGAGAAAATCAAAATTTAAGGAAGCTACTTTAGGAGTTAAAAGCCTCATGTATTAGAAATACTTTGTTTTCACTACACACCGCCCTCCCCACTTTCACTCCTAAAGACTCCATGCAAAATACTAATACTGAAATGACTACTAGTCATGATAATAAATTTCAAAATACGCACCGATACATACACACAGTTTACCCATGCAAACATCCTCACCACCCTCCTAATGAAGGCAAACTTTCCAAAAGAAATAGAACAGGGAAAGAATTTAATCCATCCACCTTGGCACTTATGTACAGCTCTGAACAACCCTATGTTAACGTAGTAATGACTACAGTCATAGAATCTCAATCACATTTGGTCTTCCCTTGTCCCCCGTTAATGTTCGAAGATGTGATCAATAGCAAAGTCCAGAAATGACTTAGGTAACCACTCCTACACTGCGGTCATAGTGATATCCAGTAGTAATATATATATAGGCATCAGGAGACAGGAGAGGAATGATGATACACTAGGTAGCAAGATGAGTGTTGCCCTCTGTAAGGTGTACACATGGAATCCATTTTCTAGCAAGAGTTAGGAGGTTCTTTCCTGATTCCGTGTTATAAGCACCGACTAGGAAGAGGGTGAGCACTTGTGGGGAGAGTGCTTAGACATTTCTAAACTTTTCTCTTCTTGAAGTTGACGGATCTTGGTGGAGAATGAGACTCTGCAACCTTGGCCTTGATAATATCATGGCAAACTAACTGGACAATTGTCCTAAACTAGAAATGAATCTATCCTCAGGACCACAGTGAGTCTGCCATTAGACTCTCGACTTTTAGACAGTTAAGAAAAGGAAGAATGAAGCAATTGTGAGAGTAGCTTTCTTCCAGGGAGCACGCATACCCCGAGTGAGAAGACCTAGTTCTTTCCTAATATGTGTGGAAGAGCCCACCTGTTTGTGTTTTGATTGTTTCAGGCCTTTTCTTGCTAGAATTAAGAGCTAGCACTGTGCTTAAAACAAGCAACATGGGTATGTGTATTTCTGTCCAAGAAGCTAATAGGATTTAGGATGGTCTGTAGCCAGACGCTGTCAGTTTGTGGTACTTTGCAAAAAAAGCACACATACAAAATAAGTTCCAGATGATACAAGGGAGCTTTATCTTCATTTCCACCACAGGCTAAGCTCTGCTTTTATGCCTCTAAGTTTTAGCGGGAGAAAATCCAAGCACCTGCTCCTGCGTGCGCAAGTCAATGGAGAGTCAGAGCCGATCTCCGTGTGGGTCCCAGTTTGGGTATCTGTGAAGGAGGTGGGGGCTGAACTGAATTTTTTAACTACATATTTTCTCTAGAATATTTCCAATACATATTTTCTATAATATATACACATATTTTTTTTTTATCTCCCTAAGGACTTTCTGAGAAATATCCAAGGAAGTATATTTTTATCTGATATCTATGACAAATGGCTCAGTGTTATTGATCAAGGCAACAAAGAGGAGATGATAACGGCAGCCCGGAGGTAACGATGCATAATTACTCTACTCTGGTCACATCTCCAAATAACACCCAACATACTATGAGGAAAACATTGGCTTACATTTTGCAGCTTTGCCCACTATAATCATGACCAACGCCAAAGAGTTTCAATTCATCACGCCCATGGGGGCCAGCTCAGAATAGAGGCACACTTTAGGGCTATTATTGTTCTTCTCCTGATCTTATTAATCTGGACTCCTTGGCCGTTTTACACCTTCTGGATCCATGAAACTGGTAGACAAAATTCCCTGGTCCAAGACAGATCAAGAGCAACAACTGCCAGGGCTATGACCTTAAAAGTCTGTCAGACATTTAACCAACCAGGCAAGTGTGTATCTGGCTCAGGAACTGAATTCAGTGCAACAATTTTGTATACATCCATGCCTGGAACGCTGCTAGAGCGGGTTGTGTGCTAGATATACAAGGATGTATCCTGTTCCCTGTCTCTGTTTTTCCAACCTCCTAAGTGGAATCACTTGCCTAATTTAAAAGTGTGTTTTTCTGACCTTAGGCTTTTAGCCCAGCTGCCAAGAGCAAATGTTGTTCTCTTGCGATACCTTTTTGGAGTGCTATACAACATTGAGCAACATTCGTCATCCAATCAGATGAAAGCTTATAATTTATCCGTTTGTATAGCCCCATGCGTTCTTTACCCACCTGATTCCGAAAGCTTGGAATTGGAAGACAACTTGATAAAAAAGGTAATGAGAGGTCTCATTCTTGTCCCCCAGGGGGTAGAATCCCTACTTTGAACCGGACATGTGCAGTAGTAACTCTGACGGATGGAACTTTGTGAAGTGCACATTTTCATTAGGCCCCTGTGGAATGGCAGAGTTCTTTATGCTACTCTGGCGGGGTCTGGAAAGGGGTGTCGTTAAACGGGAAACTCAGAGTGGTCGAGTCACTTCTTCCCGCTCCAGGAGACTAAACCTAGACTGACTAAAAAAGAGATAGAAGAGTCGTGTGATACGATAGAAAAGAACCTGGGCTTTGGAGCTTCACCAGTCAAGGTTCAACTCTCAGCCTAATCCCTGAGGGACTCGTAACCTTGGGCAAAGCCATGGTTTCCTCACTGCACAATGGCGACAACAGCCAGCTCCTCTGGTCATCACTGGCACATCCTGGGTGGCTTGGGCAATATGAGCCCCCATGCCTCCAAACACATTGGCCTTCCTCTGCCAATTGTGGCTCATCTAGAAAAGTACTCGGCTACTATTTCACCTCTGCTACATCATACGGAAACTAGCAAGAGATTCCAGAATATCCTAATAAGATGACAGGTTTTCCCCAAGCTCACCAAGAGAGACAGTATGAGGCAAAGCAATGCGTGAGAATGGACTGAAGTTAGACAGACAGATACATTTTCTCTCCAGCTGTTTGGGTTTTCCCTCACAACCGCACCGAAATCCCTGCTTCCCAACTTTAAGATTCTTCTTCATTTAAGAAATGGTTTTAAGTTTTTGTTCATACTTCATTAAGTTTCATAAGATGTTATACATCAGTTACAGCTCAATAAAACTGGAAACAAAATTTAAAAACAAAAAATAAGTAAACTTTAATAAGGTAGGCTACTTTGAAAATTATCCCAGTTTTATTTATTTTTTGATATGTATTTATTTAAGAGATGGAAAGAGAGAGCATGAGTGGGGCAGGGGCAGAGGAAGAGGGAGAGGGAGAAGCCCAAGCCGATTCCCCGCTGAACACGGAGCCCAAAGTTAGCTCCATGTGCGGCTGGATCTCACCACCATGACATCGTGATCTGCGCCGAAATCAAGAGTCAGACGCCCAACTGAGGGGCCCAGAAATTTATCCTAGGCTTAAAGATGTAACCACTGATCCCAAAATGTTAGCTCTTAAACTAGGCCACGCATTATAACTTTAGCCCACTGATGATCAGTATTTTAAAATGTGTATCCAAAGTACACGGGAAAGTATCACTCTTTCTAAGTTATTTCAGAGAGAACTCTGGTTTCTATGTGTTTTTGGGTTTTTTTGTTTTTTCTTTAAACTTTTATTTATTTACTTGACTGAGAGAGACACAGCGAGAAACGGAACACAAGCAGGGGGAGTGGGAGAGGGAGAAGCAGGCTTCCCGCTGAGCAGGGAGCCCGATGTAGGGCTGATCCCAGCACCCTGGGATTATGACCTGAGCCGAACGCAGACGCTTAACCGACTGAGCCACCCAGGCGCCCCTGGTTTCTACATATTTTTATCAACTCTGAATTTTTCTGAGAAGTCCTTCCCATTTTTTCTTAGATCCAAGGTCTGTATAGAAAATGTGATTTATAACTATGCCCTATGGAAAAGAGCACCCCATTCTTGTCTTTCTGTGTTACAGATATGTCTTGTACAATTTCTCATTGAAAATTGCCTCAGGATATTTGGAGAAGACATCACTTCCCTCTTGGGCGAGAACTCAATGAGTCGTGGTAACAGCGAGAAGGCTGCAGGTACCGGGAGTAATTTAATTGGCTTTAGTGAGAAGCAGACAGCAAGGTTGCCAGGGGTCATGGGAGATGCTTAGACAGAGCTGTTCTGGAGCCCAGAGCATCGCCAGGGCAAGGATTTCCATGGGCTCCTTCTTCCGAAGGCTGGCTCACAGGTCAAGGGAGGTTCCACACTGTTGTGAGACCAAAGAAAGGATAAGATGAGGTGTCTGACTTCAAGAAGTTTCTAGTGTAGATCATAAGGGCATTAGGACTCATCATGGTATGCTACAGTGTTTGGGAATTTTTTCTAACAAAATTTTAAATGGGTGCTATATATCTATATATATATATACAACACCATACATATATATGTAGTTATATATATATATATAATATATAATTAGATACTTATACTATATAAATATAACAATAATATATATATTTATGTATATTAGATGTGCTCTGGTTGAAGCCAGAGCAAGGGGCCTTTCTTCCCCTCCCTCCTCTTTTGGCTCAGGGGCTCTTGAGGCACCACAGGATTTCAGTGCCCTTTGAAACAGGTTGAAAAGAACTGGCATCATTGAGAAAAAAGGACTTGACTTGATGTCAAAAAACCTCTCCAGAGTGTAAATTCCTGTGCCCCCATTTACCAGCTATATTACCTTTGATCAGTTTTTCTGGCTCAGCATCAGTTTATTGATCTCTAAAATGTAGATAAAATAATGTCTAAATCATAGAATTGTGGTAAAGACTAAATAAGATGATGGATGGAATCCAAAAAAAGCCATTAATAGGACTAGGAGAAGTGCCCCTGAGACTAGAGCTAGTACGATTTGAGCCTAGCTAATCACAGCTACCTGGCAGCAGTCCACCTTAGAAGGTAGACTTTCGATTCAGAACCTGGAGACACGTATCATCAGTCCCTCCATATTTCTGACATTTCTTGGTTTTATGATGCTTACCACATTGCTTTGAGGAAATCTTTACGAAAATACAAGTCATCAGGAATTAAGATGAGTCTGGGGCGCCTGGGTGGCTTCCCTCCCTGCTCCGAGGGAAGCCTGCTTCTCCCTCTGCCCCTCCCCCTGTTTGTGTTCCCTCTCTCGCTGTCTCTCTCCCTCTGTCAAAATATAAATAAAATGTGTAAAAAAAAAAAAAAAGGAAAAAGAAGGTTCAGCGTATTAAACAACAACTACTACTACTAGTACTCTCTCTTTTTCCTTAGACTCCGGTCGGAAGACTGTGAAAAACCATTTTTTCAGAGACAGGGCCTTTTGGTGGGGCTCCGGCACTTCCCAGCACACCCAGTGCACAGCCCCACCTTCCGCAAAGCCAGGACAGCTCTTTGGAGTTTCCCTCATGGATGTGTGTGATAAAGACAACTTGCCCTTCCCAATTCTGGTAGGTCATCTCCTTTTGGTCTTCTACAGCCCTCCTGAGGAGGGGAAACTCTGAGAGGCCACGTGTCCTCATCCAAATCTATCCCCAAATGGAGAAGTCATTAGACAGCCCTTGGCTTTGGCTGAGAAGCTCTGTTACCGTTAATTCAAGGAACAGAATCTGACTTAGGTCCAGCAGAGTCGTGAGGCTAATACAACAGGAAAAGTCTTTCTTATCCATTCCACATGGGTCTTGTTTCCACAAAGACCCAACGAAGCCTGTTCAGATCAGTCAAAAAGGACTCTGTGTATGTGAGTCTCTGAGAGTCCACCTCATCTTCACACTCTCCCTTCATTGCCTTCCTGCACTCACATGAGTCTCAAGTCTCCTTCAGTGGAGTCTACTCAGTCTAACAACTGCAAACATCTGACATGAGCATGGACTCATCCTCTGGCAAATAGGAATCTGTTAATCCTAACAGAATATGTCAAATGAAAGCCACAGAGTTTGGCCTGTGTTATCTCAAACTGCTGTAGTGAATTGTCAGTGTGGACCTTCACTGAGTATTCGGTGTCTCTGCAAGCACTGTACGGGATGTAGGGAACGTTCTGCTAGCTAAGAAGAAATGTATCATATTAGCTACTTTGTTACCTGCTAGCTACTACCCCAGGTCCATGCATCACAGCAAATTTAGGAGCTAGCTAGGATTATCATCCTCCACACTTCCTAACCGATTCAGAAAAGCCTCAGTACAGGATGTATGTGCCCCAGCTCACACAATAGATAAGTAGCATAATAGACTTCAGATCCATTTTATTCCCTGAGTCCAGCCCTTATTAAGATTCTACACAGCAGAGAGAGGACATGAAGATAGAGCAAAAGAGAATTTAAGACTCATGAGAAGGGAGGGTAATCAGAGAAAGAGAAGAGAGTTTCTGGGCCTGACTTTAAAAGAGGGAAGGAAATAGAACAAGTAGGAAAGGAGTATAGAGTCACTTAAAGAAAAATAAACAAATGGGAAATGAGTATTCGCTAAATAGACTTCCATATTTGGGGAAGAGCATCTACATAAGGGAATAATGAGAAAAGAATGGTAAAGTAGGAAACAGATGGTGATTCCGCAAAGGCCTTGAAGCATAGAAGTTTGATTTAAGAGTGGAAACTCAATGGAAAGGAAAATCTGATTAAAAGAACTGTTTAAATTGTTTCAGTGTATGACTGTAA